CGAGGGAATCGAACGTTTATAGCACATGTTATAATGAATTCTACTCGATACTTATTTGTGTTATATACGTTCATGTTATAATATGGTGTTTACATTGTTTTCTTTGTTTCTGAGGCAACAAATTTGTTTTTTTTTTATAAAAAAATTGTCATTGTTTTGCAAGAAAAATTTGTCATTTATTTACTCATTATAGTATTAGACGGGCCGTATTTACTTTTAATCTGACCTTTGTTATTAAAGGTTAGATAGTTATGAACTTCTAGAGGCATATACTTTTTTTTTTAGGATAAACTCGTAAATCAGTCAATATAGAGGAGGCTACAAATAACGGAACAATTTCAGTACCCCATACACACTCAGTACTAGAGAAAATAAAATTAGCTAAAAAGTAGGCGACCATATTCCCATTCTAGGAATATGAGACCATAGACCCCCCCCCCCCACCAAAAACAAAAAAAAAAAAACAACCCCCCCCCCCCCCAAAAAAAAAAAAAAAAAAAAAAAAAAAAAAAAACTGATTTTATGAAACAATTTTTTAAATTTGTTGTTATATTATTTTAGTTTTGGTAAATTAAATAATATATTTGATTATTTTATTTTGCAGAGGGAGCTTGTGGGTATGGTGATCTCTTCAAACAAGGGTATGGCCTTGAAACCACAGCACTAAGCACAGCCCTCTTCAACAATGGAAAAGCTTGTGGTGCATGCTTTGAGATTAAGTGTGTCAACGAGCCACAATGGTGCATTCCCAATGCCGGTTCTATTATTGTAACTGCAACAAACTTTTGCCCTCCAAACTACAGCAAGCCAGACGGCAACTGGTGCAATCCGCCACAAAGGCACTTCGACTTGTCCATGCCAATGTTCCTCAAAATAGCTCAATATCGGGCCGGGATAGTCCCCGTAGCGTACCGGCGCGTGCCTTGTGCTAAACAAGGCGGGGTCAAGTTCGAGATCAAGGGAAACCCCTGGTGGATTCTTGTCTTGTTGTACAATGTTGGAGGTGCTGGTGACGTTTCTTATGTCCAAATTAAGGGCTCCAACACTAACTGGCTGCCAATGTCGCGCAATTGGGGGCAAAATTGGCAGGCGGGAGGCACCTTAGTAGGGCAAAGCTTGTCGTTCCAAGTCACTACCAGCGATGGAAAAACGATACAGTTCAACAATGTCACCCCGGCAAATTGGCAATTTGGCCAAACTTATGAGGGAGGAAGCAACTTTTGATTAATTAATGTGCATCAACTAGTGCTGTATAATTTGTTGCCCCTTTAGTTTACCAGGAAAAAATATTGTCACTTTAGTATTTTTAAATTATTGGAATTTTGATTGTTTGAGAATAAGATGTTCCTTTCATGTGTATTACATGAGTGTGGGGATTATTAATATTTGTTATCCATTAATGAAGTGAGTTATTATCGTAATTTGTTTGATTACAAGTTTTGCTTGACAAATCCCAAACCTCATCTGGATGCATTATGTTCATGATCTCATTGTAGTTATCAATTTGTTTATGAATGAAGTAAAGAAAAATGAGCAAAACACACGAACATTAGTCATTTATAGCTGTGAGAAGTAAAGAAAAACGTTAAGCACGACTAGAAGGAAAGTGGAGTTTCGTTCTTAGCCCACGTCTCGGAATTTTTACTTGCCATTTAGCTTAGAAAAACATAATCGAGTAAAAGGAAATGGTTAGAACCTGAGAGAAATTTTATGCCAGCTTGAATGCATTGGTGGAGGATGAAGATAGAGAGTTGAGTTACACAATATATATAAAACATAGAAGAGCAAATATATATATATATATATATATATAGTGGGGTCAAATCCATCTGTGCTT